AGCATTGACTATGCCTTGTGCATCTCTACACACCAGCCGTCTAGCCCAGTGTCTGTCCCAGGGTGGAAAATAAGTATTTTTTGGTGACAGAAAGAAGGAAGGTGTTATAAAAGCAGAATCTGTTAAGCAGTAGGACCGCCCAACCTCAAAAATTAGGACTAATTGAGAAGAATGAACCAATGCCAAGTCCAATGCTTCCAAAGCGCCTTGCAGGACGCCTCTCACAGGAGAGGTGAAAAGTAAATATTTTGGTAGATTTATTCAAATTCTGGCTAGGAAAACCCTGTGGTTAGAGAACTTGCAGGGTAACTAGTAAGCCTTTGGTAACTGGCAGAGCATTTCCACATCACATGATTTTTTTCCCCAAATTATTTGAGAAAATTTGAAGAAATACCCTATGGTTTTGATACTTTTTTAAACTTCCCCCGTGTTACTGCTTACCTAATAGCACATGTTTTTGCCCTAACGATTTGAATGCCTAGCTTCAAGAAAGGGAATTTCAACCTCACTTTGTCCTAATTACAGCAAATGCCACGGCGGTGACATTCAAACAGTGAGCGTTTACGAATATATCTGATTTCTCCTGAGGGTGAAAATGTCGGGGGCCTTTCTCACTCCAGACACCCACTTAGAGTGGTTTTGTCCCCGTAGCTTTGGTGCGTAAATGGAACTTCTGAGCTAGCGCCGCCTGGCTTCTCCCTTGGAGTTAAACAATGGAGGCACAGAAGGCAAAATCAATTCTGTAAACAGGAAGGGACTTCCAACTCCCTGTGAGGTGCTTGGGTAGGCCCTGCAAGGGGTAAGAGATGAATAAGCAGCACCACGGAGAAAAAATTATTGATAATTATGTTCAGAAATATCGTGTAACAAGGCAAGTAATGGAGACGTGGGTTAGAGTTTTCTAGGCCACTGAGAAAAGTTCTGACAATTCTGTCCTAAGGTTTTTGAGGTTGAAAAAGATTTTCTAATATCTTATGTCTGAAATCAGTACCCTGATACATTGCTGATATCACATCTTACAGATAAATGAGCACATTATCAAATGTTCATTTGTCTTTCAGATTTAACAATTATTACAATAAATCACAATACTTCCTTGAAAATGTTCATCTCAAAGAAACAATAAAAAAGAATAAAAAACAATAAAAAATGCTGAGTTATGAAATCTATGCATCTGACAAAGATAGTGTTCAACTTTTCAGTTAATTTAATTATGGAAAGCTTAGAAGGAAACAAAACATTTAAAAATCAAAACTTCCAATTGTGTACCTATGAAAACATTTTGGACATTATCTATATTTAACAGCCTATGAATTGAACTCCCTGTCTGTATAAAAAGAAGTTCAGAACAAATATCTACTCTTCATTTCTCCTCTCGCCCCTCTCATCTGGGTAGATTTTATTTATGCATTAGACGACCTTTTTGGCCATTAGAACCATCTTGCTTCAGCAGTTAATTAACACAAGTACCATAATTTAATACAGTTAATGCTACTTGATGCCCTTTAATGTACCTTCCATTAGTGATATTATTGTAGTATTACCCTGTAAATTAAAATGAGATCAAGACTAAGAGAGCTACTCTTTAATTAAGGTACTGGCACACTACACTCGTCTATTAGTCACTAGAGAAAATCACCCTGATTTACTGAAGTAGGACATCCATAAGTCAGAATTAGTCCATGAAGATTATTAGGTTTATTGAACAATGTAAGTACTACAGAGTCGCTGAGATTGCCAACAGCCATGTTTCCTCTTTTCCCTCCATTATCTTAATAAATACACAATGAGAGGGAGTAAATGGAAGCAAAATAAGTATGTGGCCAAAGAGGCATAAAATTTTTATGATGGGATTATAGTTTTTGTCACCAGTAAATAGGTAGGAGATGTGTCACATGCCAAAAAGAACATAAATGCTGCATTAGTCTAATAACAATCAAAACATCACTTTGACACCAAACAAGAGTAGCCAGTGTGGAACATAAAGGCCGTATGCACACATGCACGGGAAGTTGAGAATTGGACTTCATTGTCAATTCAAAGATTCTCCACCTGTATTTGTTTCATAGCTGAAAAATCTTGTATTGCCTGCCCACTCTTTTATGGATATCTGCCCACTTTCCCCAAATAATTCATGCCAATTCCCACATTGTGGTGTGGGTGGTAGTAGAGTGAGAAGTCAAAAAGTATCATTATAATGATCAGATATAGACACGTAACCGTGTGTTAAATGTTGCAGTCATTTCAGCGATGGCGAAGAGAGGGTTGAGGGAGACAAAGGCCTGGTTATATTTTGGAAAGTTTCTATTGATGATGTCTTTGAAAAGGAACCCTTACAACTTTCTTTTGGACATCATCAATTAATAGTCTTTCTACAGATGATATGCTATATAAGAAAGAGACGACCTCGACCGCTAACCCTACTGAAGTTTCCAAGGGTAAGATGTACGTATCAGCTTCTGTGCTGAAAGGCCCGCATACCAGTAGCAGCTCAACCACTCCCTTTTGCCTCCATTTCCCTTATATAACTTAGAAGCTGGAGACACGCCCGAGCCATCAGGCCTTGCTTCCTTAGTCCCTCCCCTAAGATAAAAATACCCCGGCCATCTGGTGCCTAGCACGGTACACGCCAGCATCAGTTTTGTCCTGAGGAATTTGGACAGAATTTAGAGGCGACAGAGAGGGACCTGGAAGGAGCTCACCTCTACTGGACCTTTCTCTCTTGCCCAGCTGCTTCCTCACTAGCTTACGGTTGACTGGTGAACAGGAAAAGACAGCAGAGGTGAGTCCCAGAGAAGGGAGGACGGCTCCTGCAAACTCTCCAGAGCCCCTGAGATGCAGCTGGAGGGTACTAGTAGGACCAGGGATAAAAGAAACATGGGAAATCTGGTGGGAGTCTACTTTTCTAACGTGCCACTTTTAAGTGACCCCCACAGGGAATGCATAAAAATGCCTGTGGCTTTAAAGTGTATTTATACTCTCTCTTTTTTTTTAAATAATCAGGAGAAACAAAAATGAGTGTGCAGTAACAGAAATAAGCTCCCACAATGGTTATTTCCCAACCAAAAGCTTCACAAGATTGCCTTCTTTACAAGTGGAAGATGATAGTGTTTGCACAAGTTGGACTCTAAGGATTTTGGATTAAAAATTTCTCAAACTGCAAGAAAACTGAATTAGGTGATTTTATCTAACAATGTAGATCACACTAGGATTCAAATTCAAACCTCAGCTTATGAATTTTGACACTTATTCTTGTAGAGGAAGAGAATACTTGTTACTTTGTTGTAGAATGCTACTGTTAATAATATCAACATCAATTATTTTTATATTTTATAGTCCCCAAGAATAAGAACTGGAAACTGATGACCTCTTGCAAAAATGTTTACGAGTATAATGGCTACATTTTACTATAAATAGCCAATTCATATTTCAGGCCACAGTTCCAGATTGCCCTCTCGTGGTGCCCTGCTAATACGTGAACTTTCCTCTACACCCTGGAACCCACAAGCTCAGTGTTTATCAGTGCCTATTTCTCTCAGAAATATTATTTTGCTTTCAAGGTATCTTCATCATATGTCACCAAGACCTTAGTTAACAATTTTTAAAGAGGCTCCACTGCTTAAGACTCCTGACTCTTCCAGGAGGAACATGAAGCTGGAACAAAGCTGAGGGGAGGTGGCCACCAGTTCCTGCTACTTCCCACAGTTTAGAATCTGAAACCTCTACTACCACACTGAAGTCATGCCCACCACTCCATTCTGTGTGCCCTATAACCTTTACCTTAACATCAGTGACCTCTCCTTCCTTCTAGTGTACAAATAAAACAACACTATTATCAAAAGATAGGTTGAGTCAATTTTCGGAAAGACCAGGGAGTCTCAACCCTTCTCCAATTTCTGAGGACTGGGCTGTCCTAAGGGATGCTGGAGCCTGCTGTGTTTGTTTAAATTTTAGGATTGCTTAATGAAACCTACATGATCTATGGGCCATTTATATTCTTAACCTCATATATTCTGACATGAAGCTCTCTGCATTTTTAGAATGACTGTTGCTTTGCTTTCTCTTTTTTCCATTTTGCTGTATACCTCACTCATCTTTAGTTTTCCTGACTAATTACCTCATGCTTCGACTCCCATCAGTTGGTTATTTGGATACCAACCATACCACAGTTAGAAATCTGGTTGAACAGCTCTACCTTAGTGGGTCTGGTTCTTATGACTTGAGTTTTTCATTAAAGCATCCTCAAAATTCTTGGAAACTTGCTCAAGTGTGTCTCTGATGTATTATCAAAACCAAAGACATGCCTGACAGTGACCGCTAATGGGTTTAAACTCTGGTCCACCTGTAATTGACCCCCCAAAATGAAGGGAGCCTGCCTCAGGTCCATATTTAAGTGGCAGCATATCTTTTTAAGGCAATAACCATAGAAAGCCTGAAAAGCAGAGCTCACTCCTTTTTTAACAAATGCATTGTGCTTCCTAAACACTTTTGGTTCTGATTTAATAAATTTAAAGGGATATAATTTACAGTTCAGGAACTTTTTTTGGTGCAATACAATAAAACATAAACAGAGAGGTGTACCATGTTGAAACCCTGTCTGGCATTTGAAAACAATGGAAAGACCTATTTCTTGTTTTCCCGTATCTTTTATGGAGCAGCTGACTTTGTCCCCCCTGGCTTCATTGCCTTAAAGATTTAAACTGCCCCCTGATCTAGGGAGTTCCTTGGGCTCAGATAAGATGCTATTTCCCCCGCCCCCCTTTCTGTTTAAAGTCTAAGAAATCCTGCCAAGTTCAGGTTCACTGACAGTGAGTCTGGGATCACAAATTACTGCTGAGTAAGAAGGGTCTCAAATTTCTCCAAACCTAGCTCTAGACTGGTGTTCCTGAGGAAATGTTGTAGTAGAAAGTGTCACATGTCACTCTACAGCTGTGGGACCAACACACTGGCATTTTCTTCGAACAACCATCCTCATTCAAGTCAGACAGATGCTTTCTTACCTTCCGTGCACCTTTATGTCTGAGATCGCATAAAAGTAGCGTGCCAAGTGTAGCTCATCTACAAATATTTCCCCAACCGCTGGTCTCAAAAGCCTTATCCTCAGGTCTGTGACTGTAAAGAAATCTCTGAGTTTCTTGGTTGTATCCAGCTGTCCGTAGAGAGAAGCCATATTGCGTAGCCATGGTCCAGCAAAAAACGCAAACCTGTCTTTGATTTCAAAGTGGATTATTTTGCTATTTGTCATATATCCTGTAGAGTACTCTTCAGTGCAAATGATTTCTAAGACCGTATGCTGTGATAAATCCTTCACGGACTTGGGATCCATGTGAAAAGCATCTAAGCAGTCTGTGGCGTAATACTGATAGGGCTGCCATGTTCGTCCATAATCGAGAGATTTCTCCAGGATCATTTGGTCCGGACGCCCCGATTCAAAGGTAATAACTATGTTGTCTGTGAGCTCAATGGTTTTGCTCCAAGACAGAGTGATGTTAACCTGGAGAGGCTTGGGATAGTCCTTCCAAGTAGCAGACTGCCAAAATGTGGAGGGATGTCTTCCTTCAAAATCAAACATCAGCTCAGGGGGATGCGCCAGCTCAGGGGTACTTGCATCACACTCATTATTGCACATGTAGGGGTTGCCCTATGGAAGAAGAACAGAAGAGGGTGCATCAAAAAAACTGGTTTGACACAAGTCTTGCTATATTGCTGTTGTTGTGTAAAAGGCTAGGAAGGAAAGAAAGGGTGGGGGGAACCCTGTTTGCAGTAATCATTTTTATTTGCCCTAACTGGATTCTCCTCTTTAATAGCTTTAAAAAAATGAGGCAATATGGTAATTTTCTTGTCTGGTTTCCTTCCATGGGCTTTAAGAAATGAAAACAGTTTATTTATCCCATATGTGTTAGACCCATAATGTGGTCCCAGAAGCACAAAGACACTGAGCAACTGTCTAACAGCTTAATACCTCTGTGTCCTCTTAGAAAGATGCTATAGAAAAGCAAGGAAATTCCTCCATGCCTCAAGGACGTTCCTCAAGAGCACAGTTCTTTAAAAAGTCATTTTTCAAGCAAACCTTTAGAATTAGCAATGAACCATAGATATCTGCGCCCTGTTAGGAAACAATACCCGCATACAATATTCAGCTTCTTGCTTTGCCTCAAATCCATCATATTTAACTAGGTCCCTGCTTCATAAAGCCTGCTCTTAAAGCATTTACTTTGTTCACCACAAATCATTAAAATGTGGTATACTACAGGCTCTGGGGCTTGGTCCAAACATCTGCCATCCTATTAGCTAGAGGCAAGGGGATTGCATAGGAAAGACTTGGGACAGGGGCATGCTCCAAGTTGTGAGGACAGGAAAATCCAGTACTTAATTCGTTAAGTATGAGCCACAGATACTTGATGTGTTACTCTGTGCCGGCCCAGAGTCAGCTGTCCATGGATGTTAGCCATTACTATCATTTCCCCCTGACAAAGGCTGTCTCCTCCACCATCCACTCAAACAAGAAGCTGGGAATAAACCTTGTATCACAACAAGTTATAACACCACTTATGCTACACCTAATAGCTGCTTTCAGGTTTCATCAGATGATTCCATGGCAAACAGCTGGCTCCCTGATTTTTGTTTATTTTGTGTTTAAGAAAAAAATGGTATCATTTGGAGTCAACTATTCAGGCATTTCTCCCTAATCCTCCACTGGGTAATTATAAGCATGGATGGGTGAAAGAATCGACCCTCTGACATTGTCCTTAGGCTTTCTCTTGTAATTACAATTAGATTTTTTTTTTCTTTTTCATGAACTGAGAGCTTTTCATCATACCTGCAGGATGCATGAGCTGGGTCTCAAATAATGAATTTACACTTTAGACCTCGATGCTCAGTTACCAGCTGACTCCTGTGAAATGTAAGACGAACACTGGAGAATTGCTTTGGCCTCCCTAGAGGCAATTTCTCCTACCTAGTCAGCTAATACTTTCACTCTCTCTTTCCCATTAGTGCAACTGAATCCTAAAGCTGGCAACAGGTTTGGGGGACTCAAGTATAATTGAGATGGGGTAGGAGAAAGGAGAGAAGGTACATTACTTGAGGAACAGAACTGTTTTAAAAATACATTCAAGGCATCAGTGATAATGGAAATGTTTCTGTACTTCTCTCTCGAATTTCAGTTCCCTATTCCTGATCCCAGCGTCTGTGGCACTATTTATAGTATCCCCTTCAAAACGAGCCAAGGGGGGAAAATAAGTTTCTGTTCCAGGTGGAATATATCACCAAATTTATTATTATTTAAACTCTCTTAAGCATACCAGAGAGCCAAATGCAAAGCTCTGCAAACTGGCAAAGGCTTTTTATGGAGGGCTATAAATATTGTGGAATCTGTCAAGATTTATAAATTCTAAATATATGTAAATGCACATTTTACTGGAAGGGGTCAGATTTACACAAATCACACCTTCATTTGAAATTTACTGAAAAAATATGGTCACTTCAAAATCTACCAGCATGTAGCCATCTGCACAATCATTAACTTGGATGTTACCACCTTCCTCCTGACAAAAGCATCTTCATCTGAGGTCAAGGGTATCAAAACACAGGGAATCAACTCTGCAGGATACACCAGAGTGAGTTATTAGACATTTGTATTAAGTCATGTTGAAAGATAGCATTTCTTCGACTTCACCATCGATGTGCAGATCTTCTCAGAGGGGGATAGGGTGCTGAGACAGAGAGGGAGGCACAGCAGGTTGATTCTGGTTATAGGTGGATCCTAGCAAACCTGTCTTAGGAAATATACTTGAGGATATCTATCTAAAAAGCATTCATTCCGACATTCGGAAAAAGGTGTTGACAATAACCATCATTTATTTAGCACTTATGGGTCAGACACTTTACATACATTATCCTGGGTAATCCTTTCCTTTGCTACTTTACGGAAGAGAAAACTGAGGCATAGAGAAGTGTTATATAACTTGCCCAAGGTCATATAACAAAGTGGGTAAGGGGCAGAGCCAAGACCCATTTCTCCGGCCCCTGCCCTGACCTTGTCAGTTCCCAAGTCAGTGGTGTTACCTGTGATGCAACCCAGTTTTAGAAACAGAATTGGTAGTAGAAAGGAAGAGTCTAAGAGTTTTAGAGCCCTAGTGAGCATTATCATACACCTAAGATGTCTTGAAGTTATGAATCTTCCTTAGCTTCATGTAATACCTAGTTTCAGAACCTTTATTTGACCATGGAGCCCCTTTTTGCTTTAGTAACCCCTCCTTCTATGCCCTAGAAGTGGTGTTCTGGAGAACATCTTTTGAGATTCTCTGCTTTGTATTACTCTTTAAAATTGTAAACGTGTGGATGCCAGACAGCACTGCACAACTCATAGTTTTAGTCCTTTAATGAAGACATGGACACACAAAGCACTCAGTCTCTGCTTTTGTTCCCCAAGGACACCTTACCACTGGGGCTCAGCAGGACAGCTGGCTTAGGATAAATGTTTCCATTTACATCAAATTGTCAGCCATCAAAATGCATGCCAGGACAAGGAGACAATTTTATTGCTTTGCACTGATCTGGTGCTTTAGGCACCTGAAAAATGAGAAAAAAGTTTCATGCATGCAATAATTATTTATTGATTGCTCACTATACTACTATATTTAAGGCACTTGCCTTGGCTTTCAAGATGCAGTAGTAAACAAATCCAAGTCCTGGCTTTCAGCAGAGCTTCCATTTTAGTTGGGGGAGATGCACTAAACCAACAAATACATAATGTTTCATAATGCTACGTGGTGGTGGTAACTGCTCTGGAGAAAAATAAAACCAATTAAAGGGGAGAATGGTGTTGGGGGAGGGATACTGATGGTAATTTTATATTGGGAGGTCAGAGAAAGTCTCTCCTGGGTAATGTGACATTTGAGCAGATTAAGAACAATTCCCAATTTACACCGGAGATGATCAGAGTTTGACCAGAATGACAGTTTCGTCCTTCATCTAACTCTACTCTTAGTGATAATTTCAGCAGCATAGCAATGTATTGAAATGGATGAGTAAACAAATCATTTCTAATGAGAATCTAGACCAAATGGCTATAGATCCAAAAAAACACAAAAAATCAATTGAACCATTTTTATTTCAGAGCCTCATGCTCTTTTAGGAGATTCATGATTTGATGACCATTAACATAACTTACTGAGAGACAATGATATTGAGAGAAAATTAGTGTGTGTTTTGGGGGGGGAGATTTCATTTTGGTCCCCTAAGAAAAAAGCCTGAGTTTGTGGTGAGAGAGAAAGAAAAAAAAGAGAAAGCTGAAGAAGCTGAAAACCTTACTGTTCTAGAAAGAGAAAGCTGGAGGAGAGATTATATGCTAAAATATTTCATGTAAATATTTCACATGGGTGTGATCTGTAATACTGTTGTTACAGAGAATTATCAATATGAAAACAATTGCTGTTAAAAGGATTAGATTAATTAAAATTTCAACTACTTCAACCCCACCCTAATCCTTCCTAATACCATTAACAATGAAATTTATATAAGAAAAATAACTTTCCCCTACTTGTGAAAGCAAAGAACACTTCTTGCTGCTAAATCTGATTCAGGCATTAGCAAGTGTAAGTAATTATTTTGTGGCCAGCAGGCAGCTTTAAATAGGTCTTAATTTAAGTCTTACAAGCAACAGATCCTTAACTGATTGTCTATGGACAAAGCAGAAAATATTTATGACTGCGCTGATAATATTTACACCATTAAGAGATGCCTAAATAATTAAACAGATATTGCTGCTAAGTGTTTTTATAACAATTAGAAGATGAAGATTGTGATGCTTAATTTCATTAAAAAATGTTAATATTTTACCTCTGGGAGAATTGAAGTTAGTTATTAATTAGCACTTTGTAACCAAAGTGGAATGTTACTCTTCCTTAATGTGCTTTCAGAACTTAAAAGGATAAATAAAATTGGAGACATGTTTTTATTTTGTCTATTGATGGAATTACCTTCCTTCTGGCAAGAGATACTTTGACAAGCAGATCCTTTCAACAGAGATCTGCTAGACCTTTCAGAGTTAAAAAAGAAAATCCTGCATAAGCAGTATTAACATAATACTTGTGGTTCCTACCATTTTGAACTTCCCCTTCCAAGCTCTACCTTATTGGCAGACTATTGGCAATGACAGTTGGAAATGTCGGGAATTCTCATAAGAGGTTTGCTACCGAACTGTACGTTACGTGCCAAGGAGGCATGTACTTACAAGTGGTGGTGAGAAGCACTTGGGTTAACACTTAGACTGTTTGTGAAAAACAGTGAGACGGAGCTGCCTCACACCCATTTGCTTCTGGCATGTCCTTGCTTGTTTGATCACTAAGCGACATTTAAAAAAAGACACATAGGTAAAGGAAGCAGAAATAGTATTCTGGGATAGCTCTCCCAACCTGTTTCCACTGTGACTTTGAAATAGATATTGCTATGTTTTTGCCAAAGCAAGGCTATAAAAGGGTGAAGAAAGAGATGGCAGAGTCTATTGCTCATCTCTCAGAGAGATGAACTGTGAGCACCATGTTTTAACTGCTGGACTAGGCTATCATCTTGAGGAGATGGCTTCCTTTTCTTCTCTTTCATTGGTGTAAATTTTTTTTTCTTTTTCTTTTTTGTGGT